TATATAAGCATGCATGTATTAAAATTATCATTGTTCAGAACAAAATTGGATTTCTGTAATCCAGTTTCGACCAGTCTTCATTTCAGTCAATCATAGAGTTGCACACAAAAAAAATTATAATGAATCTATGTGGCATCTATCACTGTCCTTGTACCTTATCATGAGGTAAGGATGACAAAATCAATGAAAAATGGGTGTTTCACTTTCAGATTTTGAACATCCTAACAATTATCTTGATGTGAAAAGTTTAATGAAAAAGTAGATTGATCTAATTTGGGATGTTTAAGTCATTGCAAATTTAAATTGTTCAAAAAATAATAAGCAAGCTCTTGAGTCATACTGAATGATTCACCTCTGCATTCTTGAGGGAATTAATTTAAAACAGTTCCAAAGAGGCAGCATCTTCACATGCCTACCCTCTAAAGAATAGATGAAAACAACAGAAAAAGGAAGTTATTGTAGAGGCAAAAAAAAAGTGAAGAATCTGAGCAGAGCTGAACCATGTTAGCCTGGCTGGCAAGTGAATTCCAAAGTGTTGGCTTCTGTGGAAATAAAGTTTTCCTTGTCTGTTTCACACTCCTACTCACCCCTTCCTTTGCACTGCATCCTTAAGTGAAAGGAATAATGACGTGTAATGTTCAGGTTTCAGGGAACCAAATGTTTCACATACTTTAGCTTTCAAAGAACAAGAAATGAAGGAGGTTCTTGGTAATGACCTTGCCTTCTCCCTTTGTTCCGCAGTAAGTGTGAGAAGGTAAGACCTGCTTCGTCATATGAGAGACCCAGGTACCTCTCTCTACAGACTCTGCCTTTCCTTGCTCAGTCACCCAAAATTACTTCCTGGAATCCTACCAGAGTTTTCACAAGAACTGGACTAATGTGAGCTGCTGGAGGTACAGATCTTTAGTTCCGCCACCTCTCTCGCTCCATTTTGTCAAACATTGGATGGCTTTTCAGGATGCAATCACAGTGTCAGGATCCAAGATTCTAATTTATGACAGTTCCACCTTCTTTACCCTTAGACTACTTAGTTACTAAGAGTTTTGAAAAGAGGAATGAATTAGTGTTCTGTCAAGTAATTAGGAAGCAAAGAACCAGGGAACAACTGCCTTGTTTTACCATGTTTTCTGGATATCCCCTCCTGGCTGAAAGGATGCACCTAAGCCAAAACAAAACAGGTATTCCAAGGTCCCTCTAGTAAAAGTGTCATTTCTACATCATGAAGAATTCCTAGATTCTTAAATAATGTAATGATAAATTTTAAAATCTTGACTATTGCCAATGAAAAATTCAAAATTTAGAAGGCCAAAGTAATGGAAAATCCAGATGTAAAAAAAAAATCCTTTTTTCTGTTTATTATTTATATTTTAAAATTGATTCTCTTATTATTTATTAAAATAGACTATATCCATGCAAACATTTGTTAAAGTTGTCTAACTATGCTAACAGCTGCTCGTTTGTAGGTCACTCTCCACTACAGACCTGAAAATGAAGACAATACTGATCAGTTGGTGGTTACAGTAGCAGGTGGAGACTTAGCAGGAACTCTGGCTGGTATTTATGCATCCTGGTCCCTTTCCGCAAAGACTTGAAATCACTTTTTTAAAAACATGCTCAAAACAACTGCAAATTGTGTAGCCTCCCTAACCCCAGCACTATCCAGTTTCCTTTACTCTTAACTTTCTTATTTACAATGAGATGCAACAAAAAATATAACCAATTAGGTTTTTACTCCCGGCAAGCATATTCCCTAAAAGAGAAACACATGAAAGTTTATTGACAAGAAATATGCTCTAAAAGTGGATCTGTAAATAACAATCACTTTCAAAAGACAGAAATTTTGGGGAAAACCAACTATTTTTATGTAACAATAACTTCCAAACAGTCTAGAGAGTTATTCTTATCTCTTCTACACAAACCTCCTTGTTGAGATACTTATGTCCAACTGGAAAAGGCTAAGTACTCCTCCAGTTCACAAAGAGCTGGGAGTGACCCATCCTGACATACACATGGGGACATTAGCAGAGCTCGAAGACAAGTTCTCAGAGACAAAGTACAGAAAACAGCTCTGCCCTTCTCTCTTTTTTAAATGAAAAATCCAGGAACATATGCATCAGGAACAATTTAATTTGCCACAATATTCTTTCACATTAAGCTGCCAGATGAAAGTACAGACTACCCAGTGAACCTGGGATATAAGCAAACATTAGTTTCTGATACACATAGCCCCAAGTCATATTTGTGACCCGCTTATACTAAAAAAAAATTAACTCTATTTGAAATTCAATTTAACAGGTGTTCTGGGATGTTTTTGCTAAATCTGGGAGCCTATTTAATACGTCTTCCAAAATTATTTGTAAATAATCTTGGCTCAAAAATTCTTTATCTTTATCCCAGATATATCTCCTGATCTCTGGAGCCATAAAATTGCTTACCTGGATCTGCTTCAGATTCTAACAGCATTTTACCCACAACATGTTCCCAACTGAGCCCCTACTATCTGCTGCCAGTCCCTGCCTCTCCCAGCAACAGCATCTGCCCCACCCCAGTTAAGAATCCATTCTTCTATTGCTTGGGACTAAAATGTAATATCAGCCTTAGCTCTTCAAAGTGAAAAAGTTTATCCCACTTTAAATCCTTCACTTTTTGTGTGCGGTTAGCCACGCCGAGGAACTCTACTTTACATGACTCTAAGTCAGCAGCGGAATAATGGGCTTAGGCAGTACAGTCAATGAAGAAATCAGCCCCAAGGGGTGTCTGCCCAGTTCTTCCTAGGGAACTTCTTGCCACATTTATGCCAATCAACCAATAAATGACTGCTGAAAGAAGGGCAAAGGTGACAATATCTTCTGCACTTCTAAACTCAGCCCTGGACTTTCACTTTCACTTCCAGAAGCACTACTGAAAACTTTTGGTGACAACTGCTAACTGTTTGGGGTAGGAGCTTACTTACTACCTGAAAACCCTACTTCTACCCAGGTTATAAAAGAGAACACTTATCTTTCCACTTTTAGGGTTCCAACTAATAGCTCTCTAGACTCTCAATAAATCTTTCCTCACCAGATGACAAAGAAGTTTCCTGAAATTAGAAGAGAATGAATAAAGAGTAAATCTGCATCATATTCCCCATCACAAGTTCAGAGTCTAGATCTCCTGGCTACTTTTACCAATTCCTTGTTTGGTATAAATAATGACTATTGGGAGATGCCAGGTCATTCTTATCAAACTTCCAGGAATCTAAAACCTAGCTAAGAAGAGCAGCCTAATTTTTATTTTAAATCTAGTCCAGGCCAATAAATAGTCTTTGTAAATTTCTACCAGGCTGCTATCTTCTATGATTCTCCACATGGCATCTATAAAGGGACAGAGACTAGGGAAGAGCAGCCAACATACAAAAAAGTTGCTTGGTTCTCATGCTTTCAGATATTTAAAGTCTTAGGCTATATGCAGGGTCAAAATGAAGTTGGAGATTTCTGTTATGAAGTTTTGTTAACTGTGTCATCATGTCAAGAACAGCTGCTCATACAAATTCCAACCATGGCGAGTGCATGTTCCTAAATGGCCAGTATGATCAACACCATGATTTATAAAAGTGGCCAGGTCAAAAGTGAGGGTGGCAACCTGTAAGAAAATCAATTTAAAAGACAAGTTTTTTAAAAGCTGCCATGAAATTCCATTACAATATAATCAGACTTTTCTGAAAATTTAGAACAAATAATATAAATAGTAATAGACATTATTTATGTGAGACTCAATAGGAGTAAACGTTTCCTAAAATAATTGAAGAACAAACTTATTGTGTGTGAAAAATTGTTGTAAAGTTTAACTTTAATAGCTACTTCTGTACTATATTGACACATTAGCTCAGTATTGAACATTTTCTCTTAGATTTCCAATTTTGAGGAAACAATCAAATATGAATGGAAGATCTATATTTTTTCATTTTTCCACATTTCAATGTCAAAAGTTTCCATGCCTTGTCAAGAACATAATGAGGCATGTTATTATGTTGGTACAGCATTCTCAGGGTCTCTGAAACTTTCTGTAGATTCTGTCATATAACAAAATACACCTTTCAAACCTAGATTTAAAAAAAAAAACTGATTCTGTTTTTTAAAATGCCTGTAGCCCAGTGATTAGCTCCTGTACACAAAAAGTCATTCTGTAGGAGTAATTTCATATGTGCCCAGTCAAAAGTGTGATATCTGAAAGACTGGTTTTTGGTTGTTGTGGTTAGGGGGGCGAGTTCTATTAAATAGTCAAGGGCACTTTCAGTCTCTCAAGTTGGCGTTTTAATCCGATTCTTATACAGACTTTCCTACGGTCACTTTTCTTCCCAACTCAAAATGCGTATGCCACTCTGTCCCATCGTCTTCCTTACAAACTCAAGGTTCATTCTGATTTCCTAAAAGACAACTAGAATGCTTTAATTCTCAGATATCATCCACTAGTCCTTTCCAATGATCAATTTCTTACATGAATGTTGCACTTAGCGATTCTCCCAGGCCATATGAAACACTAAAATCTTCTACGTGACAGCAATTGTACTATTCAAAACATTCCCCTGCACATGTCACTACGAGGAAAACTACCCAGTTATTAATGTCAAACAGATTGTCATTTGGGAAAACAAAAATGAATTAAAATCAGCTTCGGACAAAGTACAGCTTTATGGAAAAACACCAGGTTTTTATGTGCAAATGTCTTTAATGTCTGATTGAAATGTTTAAGAAGGAGTTAGCAAGGAATCTGTTCCTGGTCGCTGAAATCCAAGACAATGTAATGAAAATAGTTTCAGAGACGAAAGGTCTTTGGTCACAGCAGACTATGATTTTACCGAAGATGCATTCGCGCCCACTTTCTAGTAAACACTGTAAAGAAACGTCAGGATTCTAGCTTGGGTCAGGGGCTCTATTTCGCATAACGAGGCATAGACCTGTTAGAAACGCTGGGGCGCCTGTCAGAATTTTTCCCCCTGAAACTCTAAGGAAAAATCATACCTCGAAAGCAGAGTGCTTTGCAACCCACGCAGATTTAAGCTCCTACTCCAGCCTCCCTAGCCCGGCACAAGAGGCTCTTGGGCTATATCCTCCAATGCACTAAAACTCGCACTAAATCGCCATCCCGCTACCGCCGCGCCACCATTCCAGCGCAGCTCTCGGCTCGGCCCCCAGCGCACCTGCAGCCCAGCGAGCCTCTGAGCGTGAACTCACTGTGCCACCCCGCCGCCAGCCA